GTTAAAAAATCCTTAATGCCCATAGCAATGATGTTAGGTCTTGTTTTAACACTTGAATGATTAACGTAGTTGTCTTCTTGGGATTTTTGTGTTTGAACATAGTAATTAAGTGCATCTCTAATTCCTTTTTTGTGAGTTCCAATTCTAATTTTGAAGCAACAATTGAAGTTCTTTTTTGTTTGTTTGTTTGTTTTTTCTAATTTTAGCTAAATATTATGCTGAAAATGATTATTACCCAATTATACTTGACAACGTGATCTTTTAGTTAAGTTAATTGTCAGTAGAGATTTTCTGGTTACATCTAAATTAGTGGGGTGTCAAAGAACCCAATGGTGATTAACAAGATCTAGATGCTAGTAAGTGTTGGAATTGTCCAACTTAGGTGAACTTAGGGGAAAGATACAATCACCTAAACAAGTAGCCTTATTAAGAGTGAAGTTAACTATCCACCACAAAGCAATAAAATGGCAATGAACAAGCAATAAACTGTCAATAGAATGACAATAAAAAATAAAAAATAAAAAAGGAAATAAACAAGCAATAAAAAACAAATTTGAATTTCAAAGTCCCAAATAATTTCCACTTCTTAGACAACTTAAGAAGATCACTATTGCATGCTACTAAGTACAAGCTAACTGCAAGCAATGAGTTCCCCTACATCTCATAGAATTGCTATAAGAAGAATACACAAGAACCAATTAAACAAAACATCATGTCATAAGGCTCCACAAGAATAATACATAATGTCTCAGATGTACTTAAAAATTACTAAGGCTTATTTACTATATTGACCCCTGAAACTATGGTCAAATCTCACATTGCCCCATTGACCGATATTTTACATTTCACTTTGCCTCCTCATCATCAACTCCATCCAAATGTCTGTTAAAATTATTGACATGACATGGGTATTTTTGTAATTCCATACATGTGACGTGGCAAAGTGGAGCCCACCTCCAACATGTAAACAATTAATAAATAAATAAAGCTAAAAAAAAAAGAAATTCAAATAAAAATTGAAAAACAACCTAGCAACCCAATAGCAAAAAAAAACCCCTTCTTTTATAAAACTAATATCCCGGCCATTCCAACCACTTTCCTCCTCGGGGGAAAGATTTCTCCCTACCCAACCAAAATCTTCTCAAGACATCCCAAATATCTCCCTCTTTCATTTGCAACAGTCTATCTCCATTGCATAACCCATAAACTTGACGTCCCCACCTCCCCTGCACAACCGATTCCCACAAAGCCAATAATTCCATGGACAAGCCCAATAATTCCATTTCAAAAATTGAAAAAAATTAAAAACGAGAGATTGACATATTTTGGGAAAAACTCAAGGGATGAAGAATTTGGATTCTTGAAAATAGAAGAAGATTAATGATGGGTAAATGTTTCTTCCCCAATTAATGGGATGCCGCGCTTTCCTCTTTCATCACTCCAACTGTGAGCAATCCAATAGGACCTCATTATCATCATCCTTTGTTGATGTTGGTCAGAATATGATGGCCTTAATTAGGGGAAAAGTGGGGTGATAGGGAGAAGAAGCGGCATGGTTGTGTTTATGGAAAGCATGGCTTGAGCAGTGTCATTTAGGGAGGTAGGCAAATGGATAAATTTTTATGAGTAATACTATTTGGACACACAACATTGACACACTTAGTTGACACCCGCTGATGTGTCAATGTATCATTTGCTGAACAGAAAAAGAGGAGAAAAGAAGAGCAAATGATACATTGACACATCAGCGGGTGTCACTAAGTGTGTCAATGTTGTGTGTCCAAATAGCATTACTCAACAAATGTTCCAGGTACACAACGTGTCTGGTGTACCATCCAATAAACATAGAAAATGTGGAATTATTATCCAACTTACTGCATTTCTTTTTATGACATGTGGCGGACTGTATTGGAAATATTTCATATGTCTTCCGTCTATCGAATGGTACACCAGCCACGTGATGTACCGGGAACACCCAAAAATTACTCAGGCAAATGGGTTTGGGGAGGATTGTAGGTGTTGAGGTGACGTGGAAAGGAAGAAGGAGTAGATATTTGTGGTTTTCTTTAATTTTTTAGTTTCAAATATTTTATTATTTTTTAGTTAATTAATTCTTTTAGCTTAAATTTGATTTATGAATTCTTTAAATGTTGAAAGTAGGCTCCACATTGCCACATCACCTACTCAGAAAGGTGGGCTCCACATGTATGGAATTACAAAAATATCCATGTCATGTTAGCAATTTTAACAAACTTTTGGATGGAATTGACAGTGGGGGGCAAAGTGAAACGTAAAACGTCGGTCAAGGGGGCAATGTGGGCCACTTTAACTTTTAGGGGACAATGTGAGATTTGACCATAGTTTTAGGTGGCACTACAGTAAATAAGCCAATTACTAATTCTTGGGGCCTAATAATAACAAGCATAAGCCAAACTTATTTGTTAGTTCTCCTCAAAAGTCATGATCCAAAATCCACTAGCTGACTAGTCTCTCCAATCTACCAAAATATTTCATTCATTTATAGAATATAAGATACTTGATAAAACAAACCCAAAAACATGAAGCTCTCAACAGAAAATATTTCATTCATTGATAGAATCTAAGATATTTAATGAGCCTACTTCCATACAAAGTTATCAATTATTTTCATCAAATGAAGAATGGCATGTCAATGATTGTGCTTTTACCCCACAAATTTGCTAACTATGTTCAACTATATGTCTGTTATGTATAAGCTTTTCATAATTTCTTATTATTTAAAAACTTTTGCTGGTATTGAACTCCAAACAACAACGAAAACATTTTGAGGCAGTTTGAATACATACAACAAAGCAAGCTATCACAGTTGCAGAATACCTCTTACCAATTCAATGGACATAAAATCAGAAAGGAAAGAAAAAAATTGGAACATGCATACAAACAATTTTGCTTCAAGCAAATTAAACTGTCATATGATTGCTAATCCCCTTCAATTGCAGATGTAATACCATGACTCCTATGTCCCCTAGCTAAAAGCTGGCTAAAGGACTGAATGTGGTCTAACATGGCTAAAAGTTTCTCTATTGTACAACCAAAAGGAACAAATATTTCAATTGAAATTTTCTTCCATCTCCCTCATGTCCCCTTATCAGATTCTCAGATTGAAAAACCATAAAAGAACAATTCGAACCAGAAAACCAAAAATTTTACATCAGATTGAACAACCCAGATCCAAGATTTATAGAAACCAATAACAACATCAAATTGAAAAACACTCAAAAGAATCATATACCTCAACAAGTAGCTTAATTTGTAAATAAGTATTTGGGTATTAGTGACCACAAAGAATCATTAGAATCAGCAATACAACAGCAATAAAACAACAATACATAAGTAATACAGCAGTAAAGAAGCAAATCCCAATAAGAAATGCAATAATCAATTGACAAAAAACAAACCCATTGGCTGTTTCAAATAAAGAATCATCAAAATCGTACAATACAAATTTACTCCACCAAATGGAAAATCCCAAGTTTCAAGATTCATATATCCATAACAATCTAAATCCATTTGAGAAAAAACCAGATGGATGAAGAAAATGAGCATGAAGATTAAAAACAGATAACCCAGAGCAATCAGAAACCAAAAATTTTACATCAGATTGAACAACCCAGATCCAAGATTTATAGAAACCAATAACAACATCAAATTGAAAAACACTCAAAAGAATCATATACCTCAACAAGTAGCTTAATTTGTAAATAAGTATTTGGGTATTAGTGACCACAAAGAATCATTAGAATCAGCAATACAACAGCAATAAAACAACAATACATAAGTAATACAGCAATAAAGAAGCAAATCCCAATAAGAAATGCAATAATCAATTGACAAAAAACAAACCCATTGGCTGTTTCAAATAAAGAATCATCAAAATCGTACAATACAAATTTACTCCACCAAATGGAAAATCCCAAGTTTCAAGATTCATATATCCATAACAATCTAAATGCATTTGAGAAAAAATCAGATGGATGAAGAAAATGAGCATGAAGATTAAAAACAGATAACCCAGAGCAATCAT